CTTTATTTTCCTTCGAAATTGGGCTCAGATTTAGTAGAACAATGTCTCCCTTCTCTTAAAGGAGCGAAAATAGGCCTATACCCATCTTGCATCATTGAGCGCAGTTTCACGGCCATTCAGTAGCTACGATAATATGTTTGTTCTTGGGCTTAATATTTTTAAGAGTTGGAAACTTTTAACAGAAACTAATTACATCTTGTGTTCGATATTAAGTGTGCATTTTCGGTTTTCTGTTTGCAGAACCTCCCATGTGTTTTGACTCCGCGTTTCATTCGAATTCATTGGTGGTTTCGGTTAATGTTTAAGATCGAGTTTCCTTATATTTTAAGGTCATTTGTGTCGGTATTAGTGGTTGTACTCATTGGATTTGCAATGCGATTTATCTTTCAGAAAAGTTAATTAGTTCACTTTGCTACAGTCAGGCGTTGCACTTATTAGATTCAGCTAAGCTAGGTAGATTATTTTTTATTTTTTTTATTTTTCGAAAAGACGGTGAAAACAAGTACTGGATTTATCTGTTTATGAAATATCATAACTATAATTTAGTTACCCTTTTTTTCTCGCTTTTTATCAAATGTAAGAAGAGCATCATCAAGAAGTTAGACGATGATATGGATAAAAAAGAAGATAGATCATATATAGATATATTTATATGAAAGTTGAAACTCTTGTAGTTTGAGTTAATTTAAATTATCGAAGTGTATTTGTCAGCATTACTTTCTTCAGCTAAGAATGAGCTTTTATCAGTGGGTGACCCACGGATACTCACCTCAAATAAGGCAGGTATGGGGATCATTAAGAGGACGTTTAATTCATGGATTTAAAATTATTTTCGGTTTACGTGTATTTTTTATGAGAGAACATTATAGCGAGCCACGAATTATGATCTGAACCATGACACAGATCCTTGCTCCAAACGCACCCTTAATGGAGATGGGACAGGTATAAGAGTTTATATTTTCTCCCAAAACAGAGACAGATGGAACGAGGAAAATACTCCCACCTAACCCCTACCCCAAAATACAAATATATTAAAAATATTTTTAATGTAAATATATATTATATATTTTAATAGTACTTAAAAAATATAGGTTTAAAAAAGTTTAAAAGTATATTGCTTATTTAAGGGACGTTTGTTTCCTATATTTGTCCCTGATTTTGAATCATGATTCATGATTCTCTACAGTGTTTTCTCTCACAAAAAATACACGTAAAACGAGAATGATTCTGAATCATGATTCTGAATATATAAACTAAACATCCTCTTAGTATTGAATTAAATTGAATCTGAAATATTTATTTTCTTTCATTTCTTGCTAAAGGCTTCAAGTTTTGTGAACTATGATGTGTAAGAAGAATAAGCGAAAAATGAAGTTGGCATGAAAGAGATAAACAAATTAGAACAATAATGTTCTTCATCATTTTTAATGTTTTACTTTTGGAACTTTTAATTTAATATTTAGGTCTTGGATTGAATTTTTAGAATTTGGTTTCATACGGTTTTTTAGAGATTGGATTTACTTTTAAAACAATATATTAATGTTATGTCGAATTTTATATTTAATTTGAGATTAATTCATCATCATAATAAGTTCAACTACTATAGTACACTGGCATATTCTTACCGCACTGAAGCCAAATCTTTAACGACAACTACAATAATAAAAGTGGCCATAATCATACTGAAATAATTATTATATTTGATCGTTATATGGGCGTAATTACACTTTTTTTTTTTTTAATGTTAAAAGAGGGCACGGCTGAAATTCTATAAAATCTTTTGGTACCTATGTTGAATTTTAAAATCTCGGTGGGGAAGAACACGTGTCCTCATTAAGCATATGTGGCTTCCCCATTGTATCATTTTTATGTAGAAGAAAATAATAAATAATTTTATTCAAGCCGTTCTACAAGCGCAATTATGTAGTATGCACTTATCTATTTTGAAGTACAAGTCCAAGAAATGTGCAGTAGTTTAACATCAAAGAAATCTTATTAAAAAAGCAAAACAAGTGAGCGCTTAAGATTTGAAATAGAGAGAATTTTGAGGAACGTCACTCGGATTTCGTCATTCCAATCGAAGTTTTGGCACAATAATGATCGGTCAAAAGGTCAATTAAATAAAGTTCCTTCTCATGCCAATTACAACGGTAATATAGTCAATTACCATTGGTAATTTATCAGATGCCGTCTAAACCAACAAATGCCAGTTAGGAGATGGTCATTGGAGACTAAACTGATAGATTATCACTAATAATCTATATGATTATTTTACCATTTCAACATAGGGAAAAGGAGACGGCTTCGATTGCATGGGTCTTGATTTTTACCTATTGTTCTTAATTAATACTCTTTTAATCAAATATTACATCAGATAAAAGGGTTCTAATAAAAAATAAGAGATAAAAATCTAGACTCATGCATTTAAAGTATAATGCAGTAAGTTTCTCTTTCAACAAAAGTGGTTGGTCGGCCATCCTGGTTCTAATTGCCGGAGAGTAATCTTATAGATGATCACTCATAATCTTCGAGATTATTTCACTTTGTAATTGAAATAAGAACGTGCAGTTCGTGGCATATTACCTAATTTTCTAAAGGGAAAATAGACAAATACCCCTTAAAATATATGAATCTGGATTTTTATCTCTTACTTTTAGTTAATATCATTTTTAGTTAACTAATTATATTAGTTAAAAATGTATTAACCAATAGTAAGTTCGCAATTTTCTCTTTTTTAAAGGACCATAGTTAATTGGATCATGAAAATCAAGGACCAAGACAATGAAGGCCCAAATTTTGATCATAAAGACACCTCCGATCCTGAAAGCAAAGACCTAAAATCTGATTACTGTGATAGTGTTCAGTCTCACGATGCTCAAGTCTAGCAGAAAGAAATGCCAGTGTAACATGACCGGTAACCAATACTTTATAATTCTCCCTAAATTAACGAACAAGATTAAGTTTTAGGCTATATTTACTATTTATCACAAAGAGAGACCATAAAAAAGATGGATACAAACATAACTAAGCACCTCAATATAAATAAACGCGCATCGCATAATCTATTCTCTCCCTCCATTTTCAGTTTGCCACAGAGAGTTTTAGCCAATATTATATTTTATAAGATATAAGATAGTTTCAAGATTTAAAAAAAAAAAAAAAAAAAAAAAGCAGCACTAGATAAATCCAATTAAGAACCCAAATGTGATTTTTTTTTTATTTGATCTTTTAATCGTTTGTTTATTTAATTGTGAGAGGATGACCCAAAAATTGCCCTTGAAAAATTATCACGAGTGGATGCGATAAATGCAGTTGGTGTTATTTGCTGCCGACGTCGAATTTCTCAAGCTTGCTAAGGGAATTTGCTAGCCCACCATTTGACTAACTTGTTCACAATCTAGTGATCTTTTTGGTTAAAAGTTTCGCTTTTTTTTTTTTTTTTTTTAATTGGCTCTTTTATATTTGTTTTGGTACTGCAATTCAGTAATAAAGTTAATTTTATCTCTATTAAAAAAAATATTCCTCCAGAATGCAAATGTATCAGGATCTCTTTTTCATGTGTATGATATCTTAGAAGACGTTTGGTTCATGGATTAAAATTATAAGATTAAAATTATTTTTAATTTATGTGTATTTTTTATGAAAAAAAATACTGTAACGAATTATGAACCATAATTCAAATCATGATATGAATCCTCTAACCAAACGTCCTCTTAACAAGAGATGAGAAAAACACACGTCATCATAAATTCTTCTTCTCTTGCGCAAGACATTCATTCTTAAACAGGGAAACCAGTAATCAGCAATCACATCTGGCTTATAAGCTGGATCTTCACATGAACAATAAAATCTACAGCTCTTACAGTTATGAATTATAACCATTCCAAATTCCAAATCGATTGGAAAGGAGAGAATAATCATTATTACTATTAAATACAAACCGACAAAAATTACCCACGAGAAGATGTCACTGCATTTAATGTTTTGGTTTTCATCCCCACCGCCGTGCCAGGCTTGACACCGACCTCTGTGTTATGGGCCATCAACCGTTTTCCTTCTCTAGCAAAATAATTTGAACAATTTTTCTGAATATATACAAAAATATTTATTACCCACGAATTTGGGTGTACTGGATCTTTGGAGAACATATTTTATCTATTATATATGTTTATATATGTATAAATACATGACCAGATCTTTGTAGAATCGGCCTGAATTTGGCGAACCAAATAGCTTGCTCATATGTGGGGAAGGAAATGTATAGATTTCGGCTGCCATGACATTAATTAAATTCCTGTTCATTTTTTAAGTTAATTTAAGTTTTGTTACAGTAAAAAATATTTAAAAATAATCACATTTAATTTTTTTATTACTGTAAAAAACTCACATAAATCATATTTCAACTCAAATGAATGAATTAAATGGCGCAACGTGTTTTTGAACTCACTTGTGTTGTGGACCATCAGTCCATCAGCCATCAGCCATTTTTGTTAGACAACAAAATGATATTTTTACTCTTGGTATGACATTCAATGTAATTTTTTTTTTTATTTTCTAATAAAACTATTACTAAATTTTATACTTATACGAAAAACAATATATTACATTGAAAATAACTATAAAAAAAAACTAGAAAAAAGAAAGAAGGACCGCGTAATTACATTGAAAATCACTATGAATACTTTTGTCTGTAGGCCGTCAACTTCAAATTCTTGTTTTTTAAAACTGAAACATGGAATTTTTATATAAGCTGGTTATTATAAACCGATAACATCATGAAACAGTTATCCATCCTGCATGGGGGGAAAAAAAATCGAACGGGACAAAAGGCCAAAATGTGTCATTTTAGGCCTAATTCTTTGATACATCAGTTTTGATGTTCCCCATCATGAAAAGGGCGATAAAAGGGAAAAAAAAATTAATCAGAAAAAAGAAAAGAGAAAACAATCATAGTTGCTGAAAAAAAAATACATCAGTAGAAATACTGATAAGAAAAGAAAAACGTAGCAAGATCAGTCAAAGAAAAGCATATTCACTTGATCATGCTTGACCGTCTTCAGTACCGTTTATTCCAATTTAATTTGCCAGTATGTACTATACTAGTATAGTTTTATTGGCGTGATAAAAAATGGAACATTGGCTGATTGGCGCATCACACTCCCATCCATATCGTTTATAAGAAATTTGAGAGGCCGGAGCACAAACCAAAACGACCTGATCTAATTTTACTTCAAAATAAATTTAATTTCACTCGTGCTACCATGAGTTTGATGCTGCACTGTCCAGTAACCGAGCCGAAAAGAAAGCACCTTAACCGTTGCATCTCCTGATCAACAGTGGTTTCTATACAAGGAAGTAGTTATTGGGAAACTAACGATTTCTCCAGTATTTTGTCGTCAGATTTGTCGTCTAAACTAATAACCAACTCCGACAAATCAAACTCCGAACGAGACTTAACCACGTCCCTCTCGAACTCCAACACGAACCCTCCTCTCTTGATACTGCTCCGGGACACTCCCACCGACCTCGACTTCCTCAGCCTCACCACCGCCGGCGGCATCTTCACCGCCACTCCCGACGCCACTATCGCCACCGGGATATGCCTCTCCTGTGCTGCACCCACCACCTCTCTATACGACCCTATTGACTTTGACCTCTCCATTTCACCAACACTACTGCTTCTTAATTTCCTGCCCCGCCGGCCGATCTCCGCCGCGGCAGTGACTGCGGTTTTGACATCGCAATCTTCCCGATGACCGCTCAACAGCGGCTCCGTGTTGATTTCCACGCACCTCACGCGCCGCCTCAAGTTGTTCCACATCGGCGGCGCATGAGCGCGTTTGCTGATGAGTTTCAGGGACTCGACGACCTCGCCCATCGTCGGCCGCTTCTCCAACGTAGACCTGACGCACCTCGCGGCAAGCACCGCGAGGTGGCGTGCCACGGCCCGGTCCGGCGGCGGCCCGATTCTGGAGTCGCAGATGTCGGCGTAGTCGCCGCGCTTAATTATGGGCCCGGCCCAGTCCACGATGGAAGGCGGGCTGTAATTCACATCGATCGCGTTTCTTCCGCTGATGATCTCGAGAAGCAAAATCCCGAAGCTGAACACGTCACTCTTAGCGCTTAGATCCCCCGGCGCAAGATAGCCCGGGTCGAGGTACCCTAACGTCCCCGCCGGTGGCGTGCACTTGACGCGAACGTCCTCCACGTGTCCCCTCAGCGCCAATCCGAAGTCCCCGAGCCTCGCGTTCCCGTCCTCGTCGATCAAAACATTCGAAGACTTTATGTCCCGGTGGATCACCGGCGGACTTGCCGCGTGGAGCGCGTGCACCGCCTTCGCTACATGTAACCCGAACCGGACCCTCCGTGTCCATCCCGGAGGCCTCGAACCGGAGTGCAGCAGATCGTACAACGACCCGTTGGGCATGTACTCGACGACGATCAGCTTGTTGTCGTTTGAGTGGGCGCAGAAGCCGATGAGGTTGACGAGCCTCGGGTGGCGGACGCGGGAGAGTATCTCGATCTCGTTGTCGTGGAAGGCCGACGTCGTCGTTTTGGAGTTGTAGATGAGTTTCGTTCTCTTGACGGCGGCGACGAGCTTCCCATCATCGAGGACGGCTTTGTAGACGCTGCCGTGGCTTCCTTTCCCGAGAAAGCTCTCGGCGGAGAAACCGTCCGTGGCGGCGGCGAGCTCTTCGTGAGAAAACTCCCTGATCTTGATTGGCTTGGGTTTGTTCTTTTTCTTTGATTTCCTTTTGACTTTGAGGTCCGGCCAGTTATAGGAGTCGCATGTGGCGATCGCCGACTCGGCATTGCAAGAGAGATAACCCATTAATGGCTACAATAACAGATTCTCAGATACTTCTCGATGAAGAAGAAGATGATACGGTGGTTGTGGTGGTGGAGAAGAAGAAGAAGAAAAAGAAAACGAAAACGAAAACGAAAACCGAGAACGGGAAAAGGAGAAGCCATTAGTATTAGTGCAAAAGGGAAGGTGGCGCTTAAAGTCGCGTGGTAATTGTTTTACAGCTCTTGTCGTTTGAAAAGGGTGGATGAGAAAACTACACCCAAGATCGACTTTGCCAAACTTTCAACCTTCACGTCTTTGTTCCCGAATATTTTATTTCATTTTCTTTATTATGTTTTCATTTTCTGTATTATTTTACTTATTTATTATGCTTTCTTGTATTTATTTAACAAACAACACATGCAAAAGCGTGCAGCTTTGGAGGAGAATTTCTTGGGCTTGGTCATAAAGAGAGTGGGGGCCCATGGGCCATTGTGCATTTGTAGGAGTGGGAGTGGCTTACTTTTCTTTTCCCGCTTCATCCTTATCCCGTTTAATTATTGTATTTAAATATTTGATTTAAGTGTTTTTGACATTAGCATTTAAAACAAGTCATGGCTAATCAATTTTAAACGAGATATTTGTTAATGACCATACTTTTGGCAATTGGGTCCCTTGAAACATTAATTCTTTTGAAGGTTTTTGGTGAAGAAATTAAAATCATCGTGGAAAATTTGACCAAGTGAACAAGAGTGAGTTATGTTCATCCAGTGGGACAGCCATATGCTAGCACATGGTAACTTTCTATGTGACCTTGCAAAATAATAATTGTTGTTATTATTTCGTGCGTGTGTACATCATGACCTAAAAATTTAAAAAAAAAAAAAGGAAATTCATTATACAATAGCTTTACGTGTTGCATGAGTTTTGATTGAGTACAAGAATTGAAATGAAAAGGTTGTGTAATAATACTAGAACGACCACAATAATCTAGCTATTGAAGATTCAAGATTGTCTTGCCTGCTTTTGCTTCGTCTTACAAGGTAAATGATAACTTAAAAGAACCTACTTTTGGAGAGTAATTAGTTGATGATGGGCTGTACTTATTATTATTTATGATTTTTGTTTGGTAAGTTATTATTATTTATGAGTTTTTTTTAGTAGTATTACATTTATGAATTTTACCGTAACGGGTACACTCTTTTATATTTCAATTAAATTTCTGCTCTGTATTCATAATTAGAAGGATCGCCAAGGAAAAAAAGGGAAAGAAAATACGCAAAAAATTAGAGCTTTTTATGCTAGAGAATCACCTTATGGTAATACATGTTTCTAAAATCAAAATGAAAATATATAAAATTAACATACCTTAATTAAGAAATTAAAATCAAAATCACATCAAAGTAAAAATACATATAATTAACATACCTTAATTACGTTTTTTTTTTTTTGGGAGAAATAATAGTAGGGGTATTAAAAATACCCTATCGTAAGAATCTCAAAATCACGGGCCACTTTGTTGGCGGTGCATACGGCAAACCTTTTTCATTTTTCATTTTTCATTTTTTTATTCTCCTTTTCGTTTTTGTTTTTGCTTTTTGTTTTTCTAATTTCTTTTGCTCAAAAAACCCTGATGAGTGAGCGAGGTCCCTCTTGAAAAAGCAAAAAGGCATCAATTCTTGTTAAAGGGAAAAGGAATCATGATGAACTCAACTTTAGTACATTCCAATATTGCACCTCCATTGCCGCATGGGGTAAACTTTTGTAATCTACAACTTGTTGGTGTGTTTATTATTATTATTATTATTATTATTATTATTATTATACCTATGTCTTTATGGTGTTCTTTTTTAAATGGATCTCTTCTATGTTTTCTTTTGCATAAATTGCATTGCATTTCTTTTCTTCGATGGAGCTAAGTTTTGGGAAACTAATGGGCGGGAAAAAACTTTTAACGCCAGGTATTTTCTTTTTCTTAAAGAGCAACTGAGGAATAAAAAAAATCTATTTTATCCAAGTATATGTCGTGGGTATGTTTTGAGATGAGCATAAATGCTTTAAGCTTCTTGCCCTTTAAAACGTAATTCGTAGTTGTAAAAATATAATGTGATAATTATTGAACGTTAATTTAAGACTAATTTACATTCATTAGTTATTATATTACGTTTTCATAACTACGTGTTGCGTTAGAGAGATTTTCTACCGGAAGGGTAGAAGAAAAACTTAATATTTTTATATATGTGTATTTATAGATAAGAGAGTTTTTTCCGTAAGTCCAAAAAAATAAAACTATCAATAATTTTATTTTTTTCATTCGTTTTTAACCGTTAAATATGTATAAAAAATTATATATTCTACATAATTTTTTAATTTTATTTTATTATAATCCGATTTAATGATTAAAAAACTAATTCTACTCATAGGACAACCTCCTATACCTATAGACAGTCTCTATACACAAATATATAACTAAAAAGTATATCTGAGCGACAGGAATATATTTACCTCTTGGATTTCGGCTGAAATTTATCGATGTTTTTCTTATTTGATGCTGAATTGCTAACACCAATAAATGAGGGAGCATATCAGATCATTTTCTAAAATAGAGTAGGGACAATTTAGTCAAAAGAAACAACGGGAAAATGGACAAATGTGAAACACACTTGCCATTTGGCAGCATCTCGTTGGCTTCGAACGCCAGCACAAAAACATGGGCGGTTAGGATTTGCTGGTTGTCTAAAACGCTTGGAAATTGGATTTGTAGTTTTCTGAGCTTTCTTTGACTTTGAAACCATTTTTTTTCCCTTTTTTTTTTTTTTTTTTTTTTTTTGATAAATTGTATGTGCATATCAATTCCCAACTTATTAATGGGATTTCATTACTTTGTTTAATATTTTAACATATAATATATATTGCCTTTCTAGTGTTCATGTGATATTTAGCAGATCCAATTGCGTGGTTGAATTACTCAAACCTACTTGCTGCTTCCGTACGTGCTTCGTATGAATTATATATTATAGTTTTTCTTTTTTTTTTTTTTGCTTGGAACAATGTAATTACATAATACTACAATACTAAAATATAATACATGTATATCTACACATGGCCTAACTTAGTTCATGATCATTTTTGGTGTTCCCCTACATATAAACTTGCTGATGATGATCAATTTTACTTTAGCCAAGTGCACAAAGAAGATTTTTCCTCCCCTTTATGTCCAAGTGATTTTTTTCCCTCCATTTGTATCGTGGTCAAAAGTTTTTTTTTGTTTTTTTGTTTTTTTCTACTCAAAAAAGGAGATCTGATAGTGCACTTTATGTCTTCTAGTCCTTTCGATTATAACAAGTAATTTCGAATACCATCAAGTATGTAAAAAGAAACTGAATTATATCATGGTAAAAAATTAAATTAAGACTTTCTATCACCCTCCACGTAAATACAAATTACAAAATATAGGCACCGCATATAAATGCTATTTACCTCATTCTCCATATAATTTACCATAAACGTCTATTTATGTAATCAAAATGGGATCATAATTAGATATCCTATATATACTATCTATTATATGCGCTACAAAACTTTATACATAGTATAATATTATAGTGCATCAATAATGTTTCCATTAATAGAACTGTTGATTTAACAGTACCAAGTTTATAGACATGGAGTTCACTTTCTGTGTCTTAGGGGTTAATCATATAACTGCTTTTGTTGCTCTGTTTATTATTGCCGATTTGGTTTAGCTACGTATTGAAGCAAAAGGAAAAAAAAAAAAAAACACTATTTTGTGAATTCAAGTACTACATTATGTATTCTAAGAAAAAATAATAAAAAAATAAAAAAACGGCTACAATCATGTATTTAATCATATATAAACGTTCCACTCTACATCTATATATATTACGTCCTTTCCCTTTCAATTTACATGCACAGTTACCAAATATATTTTCTAACTTTGAGCTTTATCCCGGCCTCTCCCTCTCTACTCGGTAAAAATCAAAGTAATAGAAGTCATGAAAATTTTCATATTGGTATTCTGTGTTTTAATATAATTGACTTTTAGTATTTGATGTTTTTAATAATTTTAAATTGACACTTCAACATTTTATAAAATCATTTTTTAGTACTTTAATGTTTAAAATTTGTTTTTCTAAATTTGTTAGATTCTGGTAAAGTAATGAGAATGATAAATTTACCGTTTTACATCTCAAAAAATGAACTCAACGTATTAAAAAATAATTTTCTAAAATATTAAGGTACTAATTTAAACTCACTAAAAACACAAGATACTAAAAAATAATTATACTAAAATACATAATACTAATATGAAATTTTCCCTAAAAGTTGTACCTATTTTATCATATCCCGTTCTATAAAGTCTTATATCCTGAATTTAAGTTACATCACTTTCAGTTTCAACAAAAGTAGATCACGTGTGAACCACATTTGCATTGTGCAACTTTTAAGCTTAGGTCTCATTTAGTTTATGGATTCGAGTTAATATGTGATTTTATATGAGAGCTTTTCACTGTAATAAAAAAAGTTAGATGTAATTTTTTATGAAAATTTTTAACTATAATAAAATTAAAATTAAAAAATTGAATTAGTGAGATGAACGAGACCTTAGTGATCTCTAATCAATATTATTTTATACTATTTGTAATTAATAATATTATATTCTGCAAAAAATTTTGCTTATGCGCCCCCGTCATTTCTCTTTCCCATTGATCGATCTCATTTTCTAATAAAGTTTATAATGATGATGATATTATCATTACACGAAAGCAGAAAGGAAACCGACACTAGTATGATAATTGATATGCGATAGAAAACCATAATGACTTGCAGTCAAACAAACAATATCCTGGGTAAAGTGCTTACTCATATCCTTAAATATATTAAATTACATAAATTTAATGATATTGACCAGCTTGAATGGATCATGTAGTAGTAACGTACGAGCACTTAATATATAATTTCTCTGTAATTATAGCTGTTATAAGCTACAAACAATGGATTATCCAAAAAAGGAAAATTATTGATGGTTTTGTTTCGTTTTTTTTTTTTCTAATCTTTTTCTTTTCTTGCTTATATCCTGGTTTTTTTTTCCATTAAAGGATATTTTTGGTTATGTTTGTGGTTAAATAATATAACACACAACGACTCTTTGAACATGCAGGGAAAAAAAAGAGAGGTAAATATATAAACATTCTAAATTTGAATCAACACTCTTCAAGATTAATGTGGCGTTTGGTTTATGGATTCAAACCATGTGATTAGAATTATTTTTGATTTACGTGTATTTTTTGTGAGAGAAA